GCGCCAGATCGATAAAGCCAGCTTATGTTCGTGTATGCACGAACCAAGCATGCGTCCTGTCTGTTCTGTGTGTGCCTCCTATAACTGTTGCTTTTCTTTCGTTGACGCTTTTAATTTCTGACGATGGACTCCAGTAAGAGGCCGAAAGCTCAGATGAGTAAATTTATGATGTGATATTATGATATTATGTGATATAAACACCTTCTCCTTCTTTATCTGCACACATACTTAGGATGCGAACATTTGCCTCAATTCGGGAAAGCTAAATCGTTTAAGAGTGTTGCTGCAATAACACTTGATGCCTCCTGAGTATGGTACGGCAGATGCATCAATGAGCCAATGATCAGCACTCGGACGTATGGGAAGTTGAATGGTATTCTGAGAGTGTAAGTGATCGCTATATCTCAAAATCATTAATCGACATGAGGTCGACTGTGAGTCCTGGACTCGTATCTCCTTGTGCTTCGCAAGTTGAAGAAAATTAATTGGACCAGGTGTGCAGCTATTAGAACGAAATGAGCAGAGACAGTATTTTTCAGACACTCAATTATGGTAGCAACTACAAAATAATCGTTATGAATGAACTATCCGAGTGACAACCCTCCCTAGCAGACAGTTGCAAAAGGCAACATCGAAAATACGCACCAATCAGAGGACATCTGAATATATGGTAATGACTGGTTATTAGAGGTTAATAAGAATGCAATGAACATCCCGGGTCAGGGTTGAATAAAATGGACATCAGAACGAGTTATTAGCTTATATCCACCGAAAAATAACTGCAAACTAAGTAAGTAATTTGGTCATGCATTAATCGATAAGCGCCTGGCAAGTTGTCAACGCCACTGTCTGAGTCATTATCAAAGCCGATACGGAGCTTCACATGAGAATTCACGAAATGGAATTGACTATAACGCCGAAGCATTCACTGACGGCCCCGCACTCATTCACGTCAGGGCAGAATTTTGCTGCTAAAGAAAACCTAACCATATAAAAATGATTCAGCCAGCTACAAAGGGATGCGAGAGTTCGAGTGACTAAAAAGACTGCCCAAGAAACCGAATGTCTTTTAGGGAACGCAGCGTGATTCATGTACGGTGCAAAACTAGTAGGAATTTGTTCTTTTTGTGGGACGCAGGGATAGAAACCGTAGTACAGATGGCTTAATGTCAAATTCTAGGGAGAGTAGAGTACGAATTAAGGTTAGTTACGAATGGATACAAAAGTTCGAGTTTCAGGTGTTTTTGTGAATAAAGAAGAAGACTAGTCGAGCACCGGAACTGTTGGTTTCGAACGCTGCAGGAGTCTCTCGCCAGAAATAATAACAATATCAGATAAAGATTAGACTTATAATGGGTATAAACCAATCAACGATCAATGAGGCACGTATGCAGGTGAGCACGCAGGGCTCGGTATGCTAGCGGAAGATCGGTATACCGAGGGATTGAGTTACCATCAGGAGCCCGGGCTTCAATCAATTCTCGGCTTGTTTTGTTTTCGGTGTGAGTGATTATCTTAATTTCAGCGAAAGTGAACTCATGGCCTGTTTCGTAAATGTGGGCAGCCATTCGTCGTCCCGTCTCACAGCCAGCTTATGCTTATTTATGCACGTGCTTTGAGTCTGACCGGTGTAGTTACAAGAATAAATTAGATATGGAATGTAATACATTACCCCAAGACTGCCCTTTTGGGATTTAGTTACTCACTGATTTTCATGACACCGCCGCAGATGGTAGCTATGAGCCAGTGTGCAACTCCAACACTTCGTTCGACAGAAATGTGCTCGGTTGCTCCGGAGACATTCTTAATGTGTAGCATAGCACCCCATCTCCTTAGAAGTGTTTCTGTTTGGGTAGCTGCGGTGAAAGTAAAATTGCTCGCCCACCTTAGATATCCTTAATCCTAGAATTCTGTCTCACGGGACCGGTGGTTTTAGTTTAGTCTAATCTTTAGTTTATTAGTTTACTTTTAGTTGTAGTGTAGTTAAAATTTTAGTCTAGTCAGTTTTTTAAAATTTAGTTTAGTTATTTAAGTTAGTTTAGTATATAGTATTTATTTAAGTTTCGAGGAGAGGCATCCTTTGAGAACATTACTTTTTTTGGAATGTCTGCCTTCCAGTTTATACGAAAGTTACTTAAGTATATTTACCTAACTTTCGTGGTATCTAACTAAACTTAAAAATAAAGTAAATTTAAACTAAAATTTAACTACTAGAGTGCAAACTAAAATAAACTAAACAAAAAAATAAAAGTAACCACAGGAGTAGGGGCTAGGGGTTTTTAAGGTGGACGACCAACTTAACTTACCGGTAACTGCTTGTAAATACGTGCAGGTAGCCATTCCGTACGGACTGATCAGGCCTCGGATACGTTTGCCTAAGACTTGCCGCAATGAAGTTGAACGACTTCGAAAGCTCGATCAGACTTCTCCACTACACAAATGCATTTTTCAGCCGCTACAAGGTCGTCATGCCAGCAACACCAATAATTGCGTAAACGCCATTATTGATGGGAATTAGTTAAATATACTTTAAGTTGCGTGAGTTTGGACCACATTCTTGAGGCAAATGTAGTTTGATCCGACTCGAAGTGTAATCTAAATATTTGCTCAGAAGCTCACCAGCGCTAAAGGAATAATGCTATAATCTTCATATTCTGCCAACACACGGGCAGTAGCATATAAATATTGATTAATATTTCCATACTCCGATGTTGTGCTGCTGGATGACGCGACTGCGACGGGTTCGGCTAAATAGGGAACCTCCAACGTTCCCCCTATGCTAACTAGTATGTGTATAAGAATTCGAAATAGGTGGTACATATGAAGTATATATCATGCAGTGGCAAGCAGACGTCGACTTTTAGCAAGAAGCCGATCATGAAAAACCAATAAATACATATGAAGCCGATATAGATTGAAATACTACCATGAAGTACATTTTAAGGTATATTTAAATTGTGTCTATTGCCGCGCTTATGCACTCTGCGACAGAACCCGTAAAGTAAACAGTTTAGTTACCTTGAAAAACGAACCATCAAAATAGTACAACCCTGGTAGAAGTCACCACAAAACTCATAAAGCCAGGCATTATTACGGTGATCCAGTTGATTAAGTTTATTCAAATGGTCAATGGACAGGCATTTGCCAAAATGGCCTGGGCGCATAAAGGTGCAAGCGTGCACTCCGATTTTTTGCAAGGTGACCAAGGGATATGTCGAAGTTGGCGAATAAATGCAATGCTCTTTCCTCTCGATCATTAGTTTGGACTCGAGAATAGGACTGCTACTTGTGTGTTTTGCGCTATCAGCCATACTGTGTTATGCGATCCCTTATGTTCTTGTTAAGACACTGGCATGACAAGACTGTTGTGATCCACCTGTGAGCAACTTAGGATTGACAGTCAAACGGGGCCCTGGCTGTACATGGACTGACACTCTATATGTACCGAAAGCGTTGTTCAAAGCAGAAAACAAGCGGTTCAAAATTCAACCAGAAAGTATCTGACGGAGCACGCTAGTCACATGCAATATTAACTTCTACATTAGCTGGATCATTGTGAGAACAAATTCAGCACTTCTGACATAATTAACTCCCCTGGACATCGTTTTAATCGTCGTGGCTGACGTGCGTTCTACACGAACCGAATTTTAGTTCGCGCAGGCTCAGTTTTATACTGACTTCCAGCCGCGTACCCTTCACGTACGACTGGAAATGAGAACAGTTGCAGAAAGTGTCATAAAGCTTCCGTTCAGCAAATAGCTACCAGGTTGCGTATTTTTCAACAGCGAGAGTAGAGCGCAGCGTAAGGCAAACTTTATAATTCTGAGGCATGTCGTGGCAGTCTCTTGCTGAAAGTGGAAATCAGGACAAAACGAAGGAGACGAGGGCTCTGTAAACTGGGGGATCGTATAAATAACTATTTACAAATTCGCATCAAATTTCCCCGTCATGATAAGAAAAGGGCACCTTAAACAGATCGGTTCTACGTTTCCGTCCCATT